GATTATTTACTTCAAGGAGTTGCAGCTCAAAACTGCTAGATAGCTTTACATTATGCAACAATATTTACTTTTCTGCCCCTTGGTTTTAAAAACAATTCTCATTTTGATGAGATTTAACATGCAATGTCTTTTGCAAGTTTATACATGGATTCTGTAGCATTCTGAGCAGCAGCTGAGGTGACACTTTCTTTTCAGAAAATATTCTTGTTAGGCCTTATTCATAATCAGAATGAATTTCTTATAAAAAAAAAACCATTTCCTTAAAGGCCTGGGGTGGATAATGCTAATTATAAAAGTGGAACTCCAGTTTTGTGATTTAGCTATATGAATAAGTTGTCATGTGGCTTACATGTATTTATGATTATTAATTTAATGTATATGTTGCCTAAGAGCCAAAACTCTCTAGCTGTCAACAATAATTCATAAAAAGCATAACAATGCTACAATAAAGACAGGATAAAAATTGGCACAAATTTTAAAATAAATTTAAAAACCATTTAAGGAGTTGAATACTTGCAATAAATTAGATGGCTGGTGACATGACTCTCCCAAATCCACTAGAACCATTAAATGCCTCAGCATAGGATGTAGTCATAACAAAGTTGGCTTCATTACAGAGCTTTTTCCACAACTGAGGGGACACCACTGAGAAGTCCTCTTCCTTGTTGCCATTAACCAAACCTTCCTCAAAGGTGGTTCTCAGAAAAAGTCCTCAAATACTGAGAACTGTGTCTGGGTAGATTTGGCTTGGAAGAGATGCTCCTGTAGGTATTGTAGACCCAAGACAGCAGCTTGAATTGGGTTTGGAAGCATATAGGCAACCAACAGAATCACTCCTATAAGATCAGAACTTTTGGCCCACTGAAGCTTCCTGAGCTTCAAAGTGATACTCCCCAGGCTATGAACCTGCTCCATCTGGAGCCTCCATCCAGTAAGAGGAACCACCTACTAACAGCATATCAGACCTGTCTGGATCAGGTTTCAGTTTTTTAGCCCTCATCCAGTCCATTGTTCCAGCCAGGCACCAGTTTAGCATATTCATAGCTTCACCTGCAGGAGATGAAGAAGAGACATAATGATGAGTGTCATCAGCATACTGATGGCAGTGCAGTTGGATTGACCCCACTGAGCATTTTATATAGAGTTATGTTAAAAAAACACAGGGACAAAGCCAGCGCCTGGTAAACTCCATGATGGAGCAAGCATGGGGCTGAACAGTATTGGATGCACCTTCCCAACTAAATGCTGGCAAGCACTGTGATTTTCCTCCTTGCTTCTACAGTACAGAATCATTTCACAAACCTACGGGCTGGACTCTTCAGTTGTCTTCTGATCATGCAACAATTAGCAAGGTATAAGCTCAAAATTATGGGTTTCAACAAATAAAAGCAACTTTCTAACCAGTGGAAGAAAAGTCTTACAAATATGCAAGGTCTAGCTGAGTTTTTTAAATCTACAAGAAAATACTCTAATAAAAACAAAACTTTTAACCAGAAGAAATTTTAAATACCAAGTAAATATGTTACAACTTCAAACTTTTTTTTGTTGTAATCACATGAATTGTGGGGGTTCCAGGCCATAAAACAATTAAAATAACTTTAGACTGGAAAAACTGCTAGACATCTTAATTATACTTAGATTCCCTTTAACAGTGTCTAGGTTTTTTCATGCTACTTTAGCATCCAGAAGTGTCCCAAACTTTAATGGTTGGATTGTGTATTTTGAAATGAACCCTGTTGCTACAGTTCCATGCTGAGATTTATTGTAGCCAAAAGACATGAGGAAAAGAATGAAAGTTGTGTCAGGCAAGGGCACAGCTCATCCTAGGTAAAAGCATGCCAATGGGGACAAGAGGGAGGTGCAGTTTTGGCAGAGGAACAACTATGAGTGTAAACTTGTGAAATGTTGACACAGCAATGAGATGTGTTGGCCCTGTAGCTTTCTCAGGATATGAACTGCTATGATACACTCTTCCTCTCCATCTGCTGATTTATGCTTTCTATCTCTACCCTGAAACATAAGTACTTGAAGACTGTAAGATTCAGATTCAGATAGAAGAAATTGGAGCAAACTGATTTAGTGGAAGTTTGTCTCCAATGTTAGTCCTATGTAAAGTAGACCTATTAAAAATGTATTGGATTTAAGTTACACTAACATTAGATACAACCCACTAGGACCTTATTAATGCTGATACTGTTAGCCTTCATGCAAATCCAGTTAATTTCAGTGCAATTTGTTTCTGCTTAACAGCAGCTATTGAAAAATCTGTTTACCCAGGAGCAGACTGCCATAGAATGGAAACTTCAGCATGGGTTTAACCATGTGCAGATCTAGTTTCACTGACTTGCTGAGCTGTAGCCATTGTATTGAAGTTTGAAATGTGTAATTGACCATCACTTCCAGGAGACCTAGCATAGCAAACAGGCTTGTGAATACTACAGTGAATCATGGTTTATAGTGACAGGAATGAGGCACAATGAGCCTCAGGCTTGCAATGTTTCACTTTGTTGCACCTTTCCAGCGTGGCCTTGAGGAGGGGATTGGGACCTAACCTTTCCATTCTTGGCTACCTACATTCTGTTGCTTCAGCAATACTCTGTTTTTATTTGCTTGGAATAAGCCAGCTTCATACATGGGTTATGAAATAGACTTGTTTCAACAGCCGATAGTTAATATTTAACACAGTTTTGAGTTCAAATGTAATGCTAAACTGCATTTATGTTTAAAATTGGAAGTTCTCTCCTCCATTAACACAAATGGAAGTGAAAGCTTCTAATCTTGCAACTGCACCAGAGTATAATGGGGGGGAAAGCAAGTCTTTTGTGCCAAGTTGGTTTGTGTGTGGTTCTGGTAACTTAGGTACAGAATTGACAGAAAGCAGATCTCCAGATTGTCAGCATGGCCAGTGGGTCGGGAATGTTAGACGATGGAGTTCAAATTGTCTGGAGATCTACCTTCTGCCCACTTCTGCCTGACTCAGACTATGCGAGTGCCAAAACCCACATGGTGAAAAATGACCTAAGATCTCGTTCAGACATTACGCAGTTTTCCAAATGTTGATGGATTGCAGCTCCTGTCCTTTGACCATTGACCTTGTTAGCTTGGGTGGATGGGATTTGGAACGCAACAACCACCAGAGATCATATGGTCCCTGACTCTGCTTTAGGTGATAACTGAAATCATCACTTCTAGGCTGAGTATTTTGGACCTGATCTTAACTTCATTTTAATCTCTTCCTAGAGCTCCCATGTTCTGCTATAAAGACAGCTTTTGTCCTCAATGTGCTTCATCCTTATCTGCAGGATAAAATTTGGTTTTAGTTGTCAGGAACTTCTGGGTGAAAAATATGGCCATATTTTTCATTTATGTAAAATTTGTAAAACTGAAGCCTGTCCCCATTTCTGAAGTATAGTTAGATAAATGTGTTACTTTTGCCCCTTACATCCCTATATTGAGATTGATGGCTCTTTATTTGGAATTCCAAGATGTGCAAAGGCGTTGCTTACCACAGTTGTGGAAGTATGAGTGTCTACCGTACATGCTATGCTATGAGGCAGCAAATTTCATATGATTGTGTAAGTGATATGGTTGGCTGTACCACCCTCAACTTAATGTTTCATAAGAATCCATTCTTTAAATACCAGCCTTCTATCATCTCTGCATCTAAAGCATTTAATGGTTTTGTTTTTCTATGTAGGATGGCAACATTGCACACTGGTGCCTTGGTTGTAATTCATGTATCTCTCTGTTTTGATCAATATATACGACCTACTATGAACCCATAAAAGTGTAGTCTGTCCTATGATTCATATATAATATTAATCCATGAGTTGAACTCTGGGATATCATGAACATGGCCATGCTAACAGAACTTGATTTATTAACTGTGAACAACTGAGAAAAAGTATCCATGGTTTGTTGTTGGGTTGTGAACTCTGTGCTGTTCCTGATTCATTTTACCACATTACAGAGGTGGCAGATGAACAGAAGTAATAACTCTGTGTACCAGCAGTGCAGTGCTAAAAAGCATTTTGTATACAAGGAGGGAGCAAGCAGAGATGGGAAACAAGTAACTCAAAGCCTGAAGTGGCAATTCAGGTTGTTTATTTACCGATCAGATAACCCTGGTACAGCAACAAACCATGGACTTAAATAAACAAGGGCTTAGCATGATGTGCAGACTAAGCCATGCCTACAAGAAGTAGAAGCTGCATTTTGTAAGACTGATACACTTGGAGAAATGTTGAAATGCTGAAATGTCATAGCACAGTCACAGAAATGGGTTTGAGTGCTACAAAATACTCTGAACAAATATTTGTAATTCAGATTAGTGCAGCAGTGCCATTTATGCAGTGTGTCTTTGTACCCAGTCCCCTCACTCTCAAAATCTAGAGCCCTTTCAGGTTATGCAGTTAGCTCTGATAGCATGAAATTCATTTAAGAAATGAAGCAAAGAAAAATAAACTGAAAAGTCCAGTTTCATGCAGTCTTGCCCAAGCACAGCAAGTACACAAGCACTCCACTGTGTCTGTAATGTTTTCATTTCGACAACCTTGCCAAAAGACTATTTGTCATGCTTATGCTCCAGCCCTTCTAGGACCCAGAATTGTGTGTGTGTGTATTGGGGGGGGGCGTTTATGCAATAACACAAACTATTCTGAAATTTGTTTTATTACTTACTACTTTTGGAAACTGTGCTATGGATTGTCCAAGTGCTTTCATGGTCAAGCTGTCTACTATGAAGGATGGCTCTGAAGAGTCTCTCTTCTACCCCATTGGCTCCAAAATCCACAACTGTCAGAGTTTTGAAAAATTCCGGGATCCTAATATAGATTCTTGCCAATTGAAACTTACATTACTGCTGCCATGTTTAGCATGAAAAACGGAACATGTGAGGATTGAATAAAACACATTTTCTTGACTTTTTTCAATGAAATTAAGTATAGTGATCATACTTTTTGTTTGCATATTAAAAGTACCCTCTTGCCATTTTGCTACAGGTGGTATCTGATGCCGCTGGGCAAGGGGTCTCAATCAATGCCAATGACACTTTCAACTATTGGAACTGGCCCAATGCTGTCATCTTTGCTGCTACTGTGATTACAACCATTGGTGAGTATGCAGTTTGCTCAGAAGCTTCAGGAACATGCCACACTGTTCAGAGGATTGTCTTGAAATGCATTGTGATCCAGTGAGCCAGATTCTGTTCTAATACTAATTAAATGGATTTTAACTCCGCCACCCCCCATACAAAAGTCAAAAAGTTGCCTTCCGTCATTATCATAGCCTCCAGTTATTGTGATACAGATTAACAAAAGAGGACAACACATGAAAATAGGTCAGTATAATCTCAACTAAATAAATGTAGCTATTAAAGAAAATACATTCATCCATTTTTTAACAGTGTTGTTCTTTTCCAAAATGATTGCCATGAAGGTAGGAACTTACATATTTTGATTCATAAAAGTAACAACAAGATGCCAAATTGAATAAAAATAGAGCCAATACATACAGGGAAATATATGTATTACTCTAGGATGTTATGGCTGTGAGACCTGTTGCATCAGCTTAGTGATGGTACATGAGATAGTTTCTTTACGTGGAATTTCACTTTAATGAAATAATTCTAGGAATGCTATGTTATGTTAGACAAGCCTACTATCAGCAGCGAGAAACATTGCTGTGGCTAATGGAGAATGTTAAAAATCCTAAAGCAGCTCATTAAAGTCATGAGATAAAAGTTAAGTTTGAAAATGCAGTCAGTTGGGCTGTTGTTGTATCTCTGTTTTGGGTGGAGTTGGGAGTGCTGCTCTTTTCATAAAGGATGACCCCATTAATCTTAATAAATCTCAATAATGCCACCCAGCAATGTCAACATACTCTTAAATTGCTTATCTTTTACTAAAAGGGCAATAAGGGGCTAAGTATATGTGAAACAGAAGATGCTGTTAAAATCCCACACAAGCATATTTGGTTCACACAAGGAAATGTCAAGCAAGTCCATTAGCCTCCCTTTCTATATTTAATGTTAATCGAAAGCAAATATATCAGTACAACCCTCCTTTTGACACCAACAGCTTGCTCAGTATTTTCAACACTGACTGGAAATGGCTCTCCAAGATTTCAGGCAGGAGTTTTTTTCCAGCTCTGGAGATGCCACAGCATGGCCTGGGTGAGGGTGGGGGGTGGGGGTTACTACACCAGGATTATCTTTCAGTAAGGCATCTCATCATGAAACTTCTGTAAGACCAGTGTGGGGAAAGAGGGCAAGCCATAAGCTTCTCCTAGAAAGTTTAACCTTTCTTTGTTTTGGAGAGGTGGGCAATTTTCAGGAGTGTTGTCAGTATGGTGCATTTAAAAGTACCATAGCAAACAAAAGTTATTTCCCTGCCGCGTGACACATGGAGCAGTGAAAATGCTGGCTACTCTGATTTGAGCTCAGAGGGAAAAGCAACAAAAACACCAGGGTGGGGCCAGGTTTCCCATGCTCCACTCCTGTCACTAAGGTTTTTTTATTTACTTACTGAAAGGGATTTTAGTAAATGTTTTATTTATAATATATGTTTGTTCTTTTCCACCTCATTCCTCCCCTCTCTTTCCCTAGATAAACATGCCTGTGCATATGCACTTAATATGAAGGTAGCCCTCAAAAATTTTTGGAGACACTTTCTGTATTGCAGGGGGGTTTTTTGCAGACATTCTCATGCTGCCAAAAAATCCAAGTGGGATGCATGAAAACATCAGAGTCACTGTTTGCTTGTTTGTTTTGAGAGAGAACACACACAGTGTTAGAAAACAGATTGGCCAGAGGAGGCGAGAAAAGAAAGGTAGACATCTTGCTGCTAAACCAAATAAAGCACCATGTTCCTTTTGGTAGTATTATTAAAAACACTATGTTCTCCCTAGTACCTTGCTTATACTGTCTTAAGCATCATCCTTTCCTAAGGACTGAGAGTGCAAGAGAGCCAGCTTCATTTGTCTCCTTCAATTGTAAGTGGCTGAGATTCAGACTATGTTTGAGGAGACATTGGTTTGCAGTAGAAGTGGCAGTGCTTTTTTTGTAAAAAAAAAAAGGGGGGGGTGCCAGAACTCTCCTCTTGGGGTCACATTTTTACACTAAAAAAGATTTTCAATTCACCAACTTTTTTGAAATAAAGAACTTATTTACCTTTTGCACATAGCCAGTCACTCTACACACACATAAACATAATGGTCGCCGCGGCAGTAAGCAGCACGCGACCACACGACCGATCCCGAGCCGAGCAGCACCCTCACAAGCAGCGCAGACACACACACAGCCCGCAGGCACTATTTTAATGCTTTTTGCTGCTGACCTGCTACGCCCAACAGGGCGATTCACAATCACGTGGAAAAATCCGTCAAAAGGTGCCAGAACGCCGTTCGGGTGCGTTCTATGACAAAAAAAAGCCCTGAGAAGTGGTAATGGAGCATCTACCCTGTCTCTATCTCAAAATAGGATAGTCTCAGTAGAACATAAGGTGAAGTTTGTACAAAGCAGCAGCCAGTGAGATGGTTGTTCTGCCAATGTTGCAGCTCCATCAAGGGGGAGAGGAAAATTGGCAAGCATGTCCTAGACAGCATCCTGCAAGCCCTACTGACTGGCTTCTGATGTTTCACTAAGCATTTTCCCACTGATTATCAAATGGATCTTGACACCTTTAAGGGAGAGATACTTCTTTTAAATTCAGAAGCAGAGATTAATATGGGGTTGATCAACTTCTGTGATTGCCTATTGCAATAAACTCCTTAGCTCTAGCCATCCCTCTGGTACTTCTTGTTATTAATATCTATTTTTTCCTGGCACTGTGTATTCAAGTTGTAGTATTGAGTCATAAATAGTAAATGATACTGAGTTATACAATAGAGACAAGTCCAAACCTCAGAGCATCAGATCCAAAAGTATAATGCAAGAACAAACAGTAAAGTATCTTACTACATCTGATAATAGAGTAGAAGTTTATAACTCTTTCTAAGTGGTTCTCTCTTGAAATTGATGTAGGTAACCTTTAGCAAAATGTTCTCTTTCAGGGTATGGAAATGTTGCTCCGAAGACTTCAGCTGGGCGGCTTTTCTGCATATTTTATGGACTCTTTGGTGTTCCTCTCTGCTTAACATGGATCAGTGCTTTGGGAAAGTTTTTTGGTGGACGTGCCAAGAGACTGGGCCAGTTCCTAACAAAGAGAGGAGTAAGCCTGGTATGAAATGAATTTCTGCTAAACTTGTTGTCAACATAGGATACCTTTAACTCCAACCTAAGATAATCTAGAAAATATTTCCATATATTTTGAAGCAACTTCCTCAGTACCTCAAATGAAATTGAATATCTTTCACCTATTCATATTGTTCTGTGATAACAATAACTAACCCACAGTTGAACTACATACTATATAAATTAATGTTGGATAGAACTAAAAACAAGATAGCCCAATAGCTTGATTTCTGGTGCACGTTCCTATGAATGAGCTGGATTAAAAGGGCTAAAGAATACATGTATGAAAATTACCTGGAGCTAACATACCAGCAAATCAGCAAAAGAGATAATGAAATCAGTGAGTTTCCAACATGTTGTACCTCCTCTTCTTTCTGTTCTCTACCATCTAAATTCATTGCAATCAATATATTGGAAGTAGAGTCAATTGTTCAGATGTGTATCATTTATGTCAAAGACAGGATTCTTCACAAATAATATTGGATTATTTTGGCTATTTAAAACAGATTGCAGGACCAGAACTGTTACAGTGCTTTCTGCAGCATTAAGTACTGTATAGTGGAAGATCTGAATTAGTGGCACACTTTCTGGAATGCAAAAACCTGGAATAGTGCCAAAATCTGTTAATTATGTGATTTCCTTGTCTTTGTATCACTACCATGTCTCAAAGCATTTCATGTTTCTGCTTCTCTCTTAAATTCCCTGTTTTGATGAGCTCATGCTTAGCTACTTAGAGAAGTATATTATGCCCTGGTGCACTTGTGTAATAACCTGCTTTTCTGCTGAATCAGCTTTTGTTTGTTTGCTTGCTTCTTGTTACTTGGTGCTGGTTGACTCTTCCCTGGCTAAAGACAGAAGATGATACCCTTACGGTTATACAAAACTTCCTTGTCATTCAGCCTTCATTGCATAGTTCACCAAACTTGTATACTGCGCTACTGTAATATGCCAATTCATGCTATATTTTTCTGTGGTAAAGATCTAGCATGGTAAATTTGTTGTGTTATTGTATGGGAAGACACTTAGGTGAAAGAGCCTGGAAATTAGAAAATAATGAGAGGATGGAAATTCCCAAAGGATTTCCTCTCATTTACTGTTAAATTTGGTGGGGGCTTTGCTTCACCACATATGACACTGTCATATTATTTCATGACCTGTGGCCAAGCATGAAGCAGCACAGAAACTGGAAAAAACTAGCCCTTTTTCATGCTGCATACAAATTATTCAAAAATAAACAGAAAACAAGCAAGCTTTTTGAACCTACATTTTACCCATTTCTTTTCTTCAGTTAGGCTGCCATTGTTACATTCTTATAAGGTAAAGAACTGTGTGTGCTGGGGGTGGGTATGGGAAATACACTAAAAGACAACTGTAAGATTGATCCCATCTGTTTCTCTCTCTTCCTATCACCCTAATTTGTTGCAGAGAAAGGCACAGATCACATGCACAGCCATTTTCATCATCTGGGGGGTCCTGGTCCACCTAGTCCTTCCTCCCTTTGTTTTTATGGTGACTGAAGGCTGGGATTATATTGAAGGCCTCTACTTCTCATTTATCACCATCACCACCATAGGATTTGGAGACTACGTTGCTGGTCAGTAATAAGTCTGTCATCCTAGCAGCTTGTAACATAAACATTTTGCAAGTTTTCAGGAATTCCCCACTTAACTGTCATCACATTAATAGAGGCTGTTATTTGATCTTCCTAATAAAATGGTCTCTTTGCTACAGCGGAACTGAGGCAGTGAAAGAAGGGCCAAGGACAGATGAGAAGGTCCCTTGTGGGGAATGGCCATGGAGCTAGTAAGAGTTGAGGTTCTTTGGCTCCATCTTAGAGCAAGTTGAGTGAGCAGAAACTCTACCATAAGAGATACCTCAGTGGGGCATTTCTTGGCCTTAAAATATATTGTGTAACTCAAGTATTCGACTTTTCTTAAAGAGCTAGTACCTTTATTATTTGTGTATCAGTTCACACTATGGGCAGTATCCAGTAGGGCACAACTGCCAACATAAAATATCCTGTGCTCATGTAAACTACTCTGACACAATACCGAATTTTTACTCAGTGTTCCAATTTTCCTGGAATATCAGCACACCATCTAACACAGTGGTTTCCAATCTTTTCTATGCCTCACACCCCTAGAAAATGTTTAATGTTCGCACCCCCTACAAAAGTAATACCAGATTTGAAAATGAAGAAGTCAAATTTCTACTTTTTGAACCACAAATTGAACCATATACAGTACTGTTGGTAAATAAATTGAATTTAAAAAATAAACTTTTAATTAAGTGCATTAAATTCAACTATAAATTAAGGAATTAGAAAATATTGCAAAGAGTAAAAGAAATATCAATTGTGAAGATAAAATTCAATGACTTTAATCCTGTTTCTTTGTCAAATTGTGAAACTTTCTTGCTGATTGTGATCTGCAAGTCTGCCTGTGGACTCAGGAGATTCCTAGGTTTTGTCTTGATTGACAAAAGAGAACTCAGTCCAAATGCAAACAAAAGCCACCTTGCAGGTCAAGAACCCCTGAACACTATTGTGTTGCACTAGAATAGTTTACAAGAGCACAATGTATATTATGTTAGTGGTTGTTTCCACTGAATACTGGCTTATGAAAAAATATCTCTGCATAATTGAGTAGAGTCTATGCAGGCCCCATTCTTGGGTTGCTTCATGATGTGCAAACCCCAAAACTGGGAAGCAATCCAGAAGTCAAGCTATCCCAACGAGACAAAGTCCAGCTATTCCAACAAACCCAGCTATCCGAACAATAGCCTACACAAACACATCAGATATTGCTGAATATTAACTTAAAGCAGAAACAATAAATGCACAAAGGCAATACACACATTGCTTTGCACATCCTTGGTAATTTCTGGATTAAACAACCTGGGAATATCAATGTGATGTGCAAACCAGCTCAGTGCTGCAAATGAAACTCTACAGAAGTTTCAGAAATTGCTTTTTAATGGACTGCAATATTTTTGTGTCCATGTTTTTGCCTTTATATAAAAATATGATAGTGGTGCTTTGAGATCTCAAGCTCTTGAGATTTTACAATAGTAAGTAGCTGTGTTTTTCATATGTGGATGCAGATATGATTACAGTCCTATAATACTCTGTGTGTGTCTTCCTTTTAGGTGTGAATCCAAATAAAGATTACCATTCCCTATATAGATATTTTGTAGAGCTGTGGATCTACTTGGGTCTAGCGTGGCTTTCCCTCTTTGTCAACTGGAAAGTCAGCATGTTTGTAGAGGTTCACAAAGCAATCAAGAAACGAAGGAAAAAAAGGAAGGAATCCTTTGAAAATCATCCTCCTACCAAAAAAGCTCTTCAAATGTCTAACCCAAAAGATGTGAACATTTTCAGCTTCCTTTCCAAAAAGGAGGAGACCTACAATGATCTCATCAAGCAGATTGGAAAGAAGGCTCTGAAAACAAGCAATGACAAAATCCTAAATTCAGAGCAAACCAAGCCAACCTTGCAACATTCGAGCAAAGAGCTCAAAGTGATGTACACAAGGAGCAAATTGTTTGATTATGATGAGGTTTCTCTGGGACTCCAAAACTATCATGTTATGAAGCATCTATCTGACAAACATGGTGGGGACAGCCCACTTGAGGGCAATGTGTTTGTAAATCAGCTTGACAGGATTAGTGAAGAAGAAGGGGAAGCCTGGGACTCCAGGGATTATCGGCCACTGATATTTGAAAATGCCAACATAACATTTGTAAATGAGGATGAGGACGAAGAAGAGGATATTTCTGATGATGAAGAAACTTCAAAGTCCTCTATGGATGACAATCTTGTAGAGGAACCTGAAAGTCCTCAAGAACTGGTGAAGTTTCCATCCTCTGATGAATCAACATTTACCAGTAATGAATTAGAGATATCTGTGCCTTATGAGCAGCTAATGAATGAGTACAATACAGTGAATACTGCAAGTGGTGCAACGTGAAGAAGGTTGCCACTACCTTCGGGAGATAATTCAATGCAGATTTTGAACAAATTATTATTGAATACATAAGCATAAGTGAGGAGGAAGGTACATCCCACCTGGCATTTTCCATTGCCGCTGCTGCCTTTCCACTAGCAAACTGAAAACATTCAGCGTCTGGAGGTTATCTTTAGAAGTGCTTTTACTCAGTTGTGGTTACCCACTGTGAAACAATAGTTATAAAAACATGAGAGGTCCTTTTGGGAGTTGATAGATTTTGAAAGACAGGAAGAAAAGACTAGAGTTTCATCAGACTTAACAGCATTTGTCCTCCATCCCCATTTTTCCTGTTCACAAAGAGTAAAATTCTAAGATTGCAATCATACTAGTTTTTGTTGATTGCAGAATTTATACTGCACTAACCCTTCATCTCTGAAAAACTTAAGGCGCAGAGTGAAAAATGCTGGTGTTCTGTGCAGAGTGGAAAATGCTGGTGGTTTTATCACAGTCTTACAATGACGCTCACTCTCTACCATTCTCCTTTTAACCAATGTGTTGAACAGGAAGAGATGAGGAACCTGAAAGCTAGAGTTGAGATACATTGGAGTACTGAGTCAGAAATGTTAATAGTTTCTGCTCAGGTTGTACCACTTCTGTTTTAGTCATGAACAAAAATGCTAACCTTTAAAACACAGAACCCATTTTATGAAGGCAGTGTACCTTCTGTTCTATAAAGAGCTACCTGTGGTTAAACTCACCTGGTGATCATGCAAAGGACACGTGGCTAGCATTCAACACAGCACAATGCAAGAATTTGTGTGGACAGATTTATACATGAAGAAAAGCACAATGAGAAACTTGTGTTTTGCACCCAACATGTCCTTCCCTAGACTCTAGGGGAACTACTTGAATAAATTTCATGTGCTAATGTCTCCAAAAGAAGTTTAGTGACGCTGCTCTTTGGAATGGCAGCATGTTTTTAAATAGCAAAACACAGCCAGAATATTTTAGGGTAGTATCCAGTGTTATTCCTATGTAGAGTAGACCCATTGCAATGAAAGAATCCCAAATTAGTCTTGATATACCGAAGCCTATTCAATTCAGTGGCTGTAACAATGTAGGGCTAACATTGGATACTTTAATATATGTAGATTTGAAGGATTTAAGAGCTGCTTTATCCTTGGTGTACTCAGTGGCTCTAGTTCTAAAAACAATCTCCATTCCAGTTGGTACTTTAAAATATTTGCTATGGGTACACATACTTTCATACATTTCTGCTACAGGTATTTCAACTGGTTTTCCTAAGGTGAAAATGTTGGGTTGTTTTTACTGGGCTCTTATGTATACATGTGGAAAAGAGCATGAGAAGCCTTACAGAAGCAGCAGAACTGTGCTGTCACAGTGAGGGTCTTCAGCCAATACTTGTTTTGCATTGGCAAAGAGATAATTGAATGGTTGCTGTTCTTTATAAAAGGCAGAGAATTTCCCGCACATTGTAAGTTTTTGGACCAATACAGTAACGTTGAACAACTGACTCTAAAAGTGTTGTAGCAGCATAAGCTTTCACTGGTAAAACTGTTTTAAAATCTGGTTCTAAGTCACTCCAGTATAAACTGTAAACTTAAGTTGTGCGTCACACGGTTTCAATTTGAACTGGAAGAAATTAAAGGTGGTGAAAGCCTGGAAGTGGGGGGAGGGGGTGACTCTAACAGCAAAAAAGGCCAGGTGAAATTTTGCAATACTAGCCTTGAATGACCATTGAAAAGTGTTCATACTGACTACTGCTTGGCTTTTAAATGGCAAGGCATGGAGGCCTAGAGTTCTTTCCTTAAACATCAACAATACACTCCTGTTAGAAATTCTCTTGGAAGGACAGCTTGAAGGCATTTGCTGCAAAAGTGTCTCTGTTCATTTATGTTTGGAAGTTTGTACTGTATGTGTGCATAAAAGTTTGCAACAAGAAAAAAGACCATTAAGAAGGATATGAAAACAGTTGTATTTTCTTACACTTTTCCAGATGGGACATTTTCCCAATGGAATTGCTAGTGTTAACCTGTGCTTGTTTTAATGATTTTAGCTATGCTTGAACTCTAGTCCCAGAGGCTACTGTTGTTGCTCATGGAGGCTTATGGGCTACTTTTTAAATGATGATGATGATGATGTAGGCTGTTCCTTGGCAGGCATGACTGATTTGTTCATACCTCTGTATAAAGGCAACCTTGATATCCAACAGTGGCATCATGAGTCAAAACCTCAAACCTCAAAAATATTGTCTTGCTGCTATATCAGTGGCAACTATGACTAACTAAGCATTGCTCTTATTCCATGGCAGATAATACACTGTGAATATTGATCTATGTCCTATTTTTGTAGCAAAAGCGCACATTATTTTAGTGAAGGATAACTTCATGAAGTGGACATCGTGTTCTGGTGTGTCTTCCATGAATTAATGGCAGAAAGGTTTCTCTTTTTGCTAAAAGGCAAACCTATGGCCTCCTGGCATCACTGTGGGGAAGGGGAAGGGGATTTTTGGAGTCCCAGTACCAGCATCCTTTACCCTTGGAGCTGGGACACCAAATTCCAAGTTCCTGCCCCTCTCACAGCCAGTGAGGAAAGAAGCATGGTTACTGCCTTTGCAAGACCAGAAATACACAGAGGGAAAGGTGTCTGCCAAGAGGGGTGGAGAAGGAAGGAGGCTGTGGCCATCACAGCCACACCAGATTGTCAGCAGACCATCCTCCTTCCTCTCCCCTCCCTACTGCTTTATCTAGACAGCCAAACATGGCCGTCTAGATAAAGTACATGGTGTGAAGGACAGTGGCAGAAACTGCCATCACAAATCATGCCATGTACTGGATGCTTGTAAGCTTCTGAGTTCAGAGGCTGAGGGCAAGGGGCACAGGTGTTCTACGTCCACCTTCAGTGCAGTAAGTACAGCATAGGAACAACAGAGATTATGAATGAATGCCTTAGAATGTTGCTACTGCTTTGTGTGACTTGAATTTCATGGTCAATGTGCTGGACTGCACAGGCAAGGAGACAAAATAATGCAAGCTTGAAACTTAGCTGTCTTATCTATTAAGCCTCGCTATTAAATACACTGCAAGTCTAGGAACTTAATTAGTTCCCCAGGAAACAAGGTCAGATTTTCTTTCCTTCAAATGCAGAGAAATGTTAATGTTAGCACAAAGTCATTAGGTTTCTATGCTTTAAGCAGTATTTGGAAGAAAGTCTCCTTACAACCTGTGGAGACTTCAGGCAGTTAGCCATCAACAGACTCTGAACAGTTCCACCATGTGCCTTGTAGTGAGTGAAATTTAGCTTTCACTCTTTTTTAATCCTAGAATAACCAGTGTAAGAAGTATATATACACTACATGAGTTGCACAAGCTGGTCACTTATCCTAAAGTGAATTTTTCTTAGCATTCATAAATGGCAGTGCCACCTTGGACCTATCTGAGAACTAGTCTGCCTTAGTGCACTCCTGATCAGAAACAGTGTCTTCCATATGTTTTCAGTCAAATTAAAATTTTAAACCATTTTATTTTATTTTTGCTCTGACTTTGTACTGAAGGAGCAAATACTGAAAGAATCTTTGATTGCTCGTGAGACTCAGCAACTATAGAAGTGCCTTTGACTATCTTAACTTCCCAGAAACATTTTGGGAAGAGTTTGCATAATGTGAAACAAATTTAAAGTGCAAGGCTTGGAGACCACCACTTTTTTCTGCTCAAAAAAATGAGTAAAATTGAACAGAGTAGCCATTTCTGTTTTGTGTTCATGTTTATAGACACTTAAATTAGCCTGTAGAAGGGGCTGGTTTTGTTTGTTTTTTTTTAGATGGCTGCTAACCTTCAGAAGTTCCAGAGCACCAATACTTTGCAGGTGTTTCAGGAAAAAAGGGGAGGATTTTCTTTCTTAGCTGTGGACCAAGTACCCTTGGCATTGCTGCTTTTCTTGTTTCCCTGCCCAATAACCACTGCTGACAATTGAATCGGAGCAGTCTAGCACAACATAATCTAGCTGCAAAGATTCATCTTGTGTATAGTTCCACAAATTGCACCCCAGAAGATGTGTTGCTCTCTTCCATTTACTCAGTAGTGTATAGGATTTTCACATGATCAGAATTAACCAAGGTCAGGCGCTGTGGGGCATTCCTGGTGTGTTCAGTATAACCTCATGGCAGAGTGGTGACAAGATTTGCTCTCAAAAATGCGGGAGAAGCCTCGCCACCACTTACCGTCTTGTGGCATGATTTTTGTGTACATTCAGTACAAAGCTGATCTTCAGCCAATCCTGTTTGCAACCGCTTTATATAAAGCAGTATATCATTCCAGCTTTCCTTTTAAAGTAGGCCATTAAACAAACCAGGCAGAGTAACATTTTGTAAAACACCCTCATTCATTGGCTCCATTGCTGGCAATGGGTGTTCCAAAATGTAAGTTGAAACCATATGTATTGATGTCTTACTACCCTGAATGTGACTCATTTCATCCCTTTAGCCAATTGGAAATTCACTACTATCTTGACTAACATTGGAAGCAGAAAGCAATATATAAAAGGCCTCTTGAACAGTGGCCTCGCAGCTTGACTCAGCACTAGTTCTCATGCCTTCTCTGCTGCACTGAGCCTTTAAAATAAGGGTCTCCTGCAGCTATTCCTTGAAGGGTGCACAGTCTGGACAATCTCATCTCTGGCTCCCCATCACATGAGCAGATACAGTTCTTGTTTCTGTCTGTTCTTTTGTTTGCTGATTTGTGTCACTGGAATCACTGAATGTAAATATTAGACTTTGTAAAATGTAATTTATTTTAACATTTTTTCAATAAAAAGTGAAATTTTTAAAAAAAGCATTCCTTGTTCTTGAATGAAAGGATTAAGTGAAAAATTGGATTTGATTTTGGGTGCTGCATTTAATTAACACTTGCTCAGATCCTTGGTAAAAGTGAAGCTATCTTTTGGTGCTTAAAGAATTTTTCAGATAAATGCATTTTTAAACATTCTTCTCTTATAAGCCACAGCACATTTTGATGAAATCTCATTTTGTCCATTATAAATGGTAGACAGTTTTGTGTATGGATGATGGAGAACAGGGTAGAGCTCCATATTTGGAATAACCATAGAATTTTTCTTTGGACTCTTTGGGTTACTTTGTTAGCTGCCCTCTCAGTATTCAGTGGGCAAAAAGATAAAGAGCATGGGCCAGCCACTACAAAGAAATGCAAAACGATGTTCAGTGTCCAAAAACATCATCCCAGTTTTAAATTAATTTCCAGGCCTGTATTTCCCTGAATGTTGGCTAGAACCTAGAAGGTTTGATAGAACTTTAATAGAAGGTTGCATTCAAAGAACCTTGGGTACAAGCTGAGACTCTTCTTGTCACTGTATATGGGAAGCAGAGAGTAGGAATAATTGAGTTCTCACAGTAGTCTGTGGTGGACTATTGTGTGTAGTATATAAATTTAAATAAACAGCGATCCTCCAGGGGTCTGCATAGGGCTGAGTGCTTTTTAACATGTTCATGTACTCTACATGTGATGTAGCATAGGAGTGAACAATAAGGTACCAACTTTGCAGTAGCCCCCGAGAGTAGTTAAGACATAGCCAAAAGCCCCAGAAGGATCTGTCCGAACAATAGGAATGGGCATTAAATTGCACAGTTTGATGACCAGGACGGTGGGGGGGGGGGCGGATTTGACTAAGCCTGAAAGGGAACTTGCGGTTGTGGTTAAATGTTAGAACACATCAACTTGATGTGCACTGTGACTAAAGATAAGCTGGTCAGAATCATTTGTAAAAGAATTTAAATGTAGACCAGTGGCATAATGCTTTTATATAAATTTATGGTGTGGCCATACTACTACAATACATTGTAAAATTACAGTGACAGTACAGCAAAAAGGATATTGCTGGAAAGCATGGAGAGCTAGAAAACATGACGAAAAGACCAACCAGAATGGTCAGGGAGCTGCAGCAACTCCTTTATAAGGAGAGGTTACAAGATCGTAGGGCTATTTACATTGGGAAAAGGTAAGTGGGGGACATGATAGGGATGCATATGCATATTGTGGAGAAAGTGGATAGGAGATGTTTTTCTCAAAATACTGGAATCCAGAGTCAACCAGTGATGATAAAGGTAGGAATAACTGATAGATGATAGCATATGGTCCTGCTCCTTAAAGTCCTGTGTAGGTGGTAATACAATTCCTCATTTTCTGTCTTGGGATTTCTTTAGAGATCTTGGCTCCCTATAATCAGACTACTTTGCATTTGCAGGCAACATTATCAAACTTGCAAATGACAGAAAACTGGGTGGGACAGCTTATACCCTGGAAAACAGAAGATTCAAGGTGATCTTGATAAAGTGGAGCGCTGGGCTGAAAACAACAATGAAATTCAGTTGGGAGAAATGCCAAGTTCCACATCTAGGAAAAAGAAACCAAATGCGTCATTACAAGGTGGGAATACTTGGCTCAACACAAAGTGTCTTGGAATTGTGATCACAAGCTGAACATGAGTCAACAATGTGATGTGGCTTCAAAAAAGGCAAAGACTATTTTATACTACATTAATAGAAGTATCACTTCCAGATCCCATGAAATATTAGTTCTCCTTTACTCAGCACTGGTTAGGCCCAACCTGGAGTATTGTATCCAGTTCTGGGCACCGCAGTTTAAACAGATGCTGACAAGGTGGAAAGGGTTCAGAGGAGAGCCACAAGGGTGATCCAAGGACTGGGGAAAAAAGCTTTATGAGAAGAGATTGAAAGAACTGGGCATGTTTAGCTTTGATAAGATGGAGATATGCTAGCACTCTATAAGTACTTGAAGCTAGATACAGGAAAAATTTCCTGTTGGAGCAGTATGAAATAGAACCAATGATTTAGAGAGGTTTTGGGCTTTTCCACACTAGAGACACTCAAGATGAGATCTTGATGCATCCAAGAGGGATGGTTTAACTTAAGAATCCTGCACTGAGCAGGGGGTTTGGACCCAATGGCCCTCTAGCCCTTTGGATCCATAATGAAAGCATGCCACACAAATGAAAAGATATTTAATATGCTGGATTCAGCCAAGGCCTCTCATCGATGGAAAGTCTTTCATCTGTGGGATGCTTTTGATTCAGTGGAGTTTTTTCTCTGCCTATTTCCGTCCCTCCACCTTCAATCTTATTTCCTCAACAATCTGCCCTGGAGTGTTCCTCAGGAATGCTGGGGAAAGTGGTGGGGGCGCCTACAGAGAGGCTGCAGTAGGGATCAGAGTGGGACTGAGTGAGCACTAGAACCCAGTTGTCTCAAGTCCCAGTCCAACAATCCAACCACTATACTGTACTGGTCCATCAACTTTGACTAGTAGCATCTATCCAAGGTTTCAGATAGGAGTATTTCCAGCCCTGCCTAGAGATGCAGGGAATGAATCTTCGGGATGCAAAGCATGTGCTCCATGATTAAGTCATGCCTTCTCAAATAAACTGTTCCCTTGGGCAGGCTTAAACTACTATCCTTTCGGTTAACAGCAAAATGCTCCAACCAGTTATTCCCATGGATTCGCTGGAGTTTCTGGATCCAACTCTATATTTTACAGCCATGGAGTTGCAGCCATGGTATGGGAGGCCATTTTGACAGCATCCTTCTATAATAGATGTGCTTCTTTGTGGTCTCTGAAACTCACACATGTGGATTCTGCACCAACACAGAACACTCATTTGGGACATTCTAGAACTAAGCAGAGGTTAAGGCAGGAGCCCTGCCCAGCTGCTCTGCACACATTCTGGGTGTGGCTGAAGCTTGCCTTTCACTTACGTTTTGTCCACTACGGCCACTAGCTGCCTTTGGAATGGTCTCTTATTTCATGGCTGGAAACTAAGACAAACAAGCAAACAAACCTTCCTGTTCTTGCTGAAATATGGAACAGAGTTTCTCCTTTATCTTCTTTCTTTTCCTCTTTGTCTTTCTTTCCTGTCTTCTCTGAGTTTTTCTCTCTTTTCTGCCACTCAGAGATGTATTATCCTCTGTAGAAGTGGATCTTCTACAGCAAGATAACTGGCAGGCCCTCTGTCTCCTCTGCCTGGAGAAGTGCCCGACACCTGCGCCTGCTGCCAGGCCTTGTCCAAGCAGGTCCAAAGAAAAAGAGCCACAGTCCGCGCCTTGCTGTGGGATCAAGCTAGCAAGGTGGCATTCACAGCTGCACTGAATGGGCATGCCACCCTAAGCCTCCAACTGCAATAAGCCACCTCTGACTCCTTCTCAGCTTCCGATGTGTAACATCATGGAAAGCTGCTTAGAGCACAGTCTCCAGATTGGGACCAGTAGCCTGGCCTGTACTGCCAGCTTTGGCCATCCCCTTGGACCAACAGCCTCAGGACCCATGGCTGGTACCCAGCAGGTCAAACAGACTAAGCCCCGGAGCAAACCTCCCATCGACTTCCAAGCTCTGAGATGCAAAAGACAACAAGAAAAATGGGACGGGTTTATTAGTTAAACCAGGCATCCACAACCTGTCTGGGTGGATTGTTTGGCATTTTGAGAGAGTGTCATGGTCACCCTCATAAAATGGCTGTCCTGGTTAGCATGGCTGGCCACAGAACATTCATTTGCCAAAAAGCAGACTGGTGAGACTGTGACTATTATTTGGTACTTTCGGAAAGGTGTTTTCCAAACCAAGGAACTGATAGGCACTGTGCCCTGAAAAGGTGGGCAGAACCCAAATGCAAGAGGGAGGTGAGGCTGACCTGCAAAATGTTAAACTTCTCCTTTGAACCCAAATACAGAAGGGTGCTGGAAGGCAACACTTTGCTTTGCAGCATGCCAGCCCTCCAGGTAATAACTGAAGGGCAGTTTTCCTTTCTTTCAAGTTACTAAATTACAATCTGCTTCAAATTTCAGTTAATAATCTGTTTTGCTAAATAATCTATTTCATTTAATAACAAGGCTTTGTGCCACAGTAGAGATTCTAAGTCTTGATTATTTGAATTGTGGGTCTATGTGATACCAAAACCCTGAGAGCTCTTCAGTGATTAAACTCATTCTAATATTCTCTGTTCTGCTTGGAAATCTAATCAACACATTAATTAGCGACTGTAAACATATCAAACTTATATTGGGTTTTACAGTTTTATATTGGTTTATGCTCACTCTGCACACGCGCACGCACACACACACATACTATACACATCTTTATCATCAGCCCCCTTTCAAAATGATGTTGTAGTTGTGCAAAACCTGTTGCACTGGGTAAGGGTAACGGGACCTGGGTTCTGACCTACACCAATACCTTCTTGCCTGCAAAATTTGCATCTTAAGCAGGAAAAAAAAATACTTACTGTGTTTTTCGCTCTATAAGACGCACCTGACCATAAGACGCACCTAGTTTTTAGAGGAGGGATCCATGGAAAGCTTCCTGATAATCACAGGCACATTCCCCATCACTTCCCCATGGGCTTCATTAAAAGACGGGTTGCCATTTGAAAACACACACTGACATGTGATTAACAGCTCTCACCTGCACCGGAGGCGGGGGGGGGGGGCGGAGCAGGGTGCGCCGAGCGTGTGCCAGCCAGGTGTGTGCAGCCGGGCCAGCAGCGTGCTGGTGGTGTGGCGGCGGCAGGTCTTCCCAAGCGGTGGGGGTGAACAGTTTGTCTCCGTGCGGCCGGCGGGTTAAAGCCCGCGGCTCCTCCTCCTCCGCGGCAGGTCTTCCCGGGCGGTGGGGGTGAGCAGTCCGTCTCTCCATGCGGCTGGCAGGTTAAAGCCCATGGCTCCTCCTCCTCCGCACCTGAGCGGCACAGCTCTCACCTGCGCCGAAGGGGGGGGGGCAGAGCAGGGCGCGCCGAG